ATTTCGAAAGGCAAACCATCCTAACTGTGATTGAGGTGTATTAATGTGGAATCAGAAGCTATTAAAAGAATAGCTTCTGATGCTGATTGTTTTTCGAACACTTGTTTACAATGATGATGAATACTACCCTACATTCAATACTAGCATGACCTGGTAATATTTTCTAGATTGTAAAAAAATGTCTTCGGTATACCTCTATGATTAAGTTAACCTTAGTAGGATATTGCCATTTGTCACTTCAAAACACTTTTACGATTTCCATCTGCTTTTAATTTTAGGGTAATGCGTTTTTAACCTGTTGTATAACAGTTAGATAACGTAAAGATAGATTTGGAACACTCTTCAGCAATTCAGGATATGGATTGGTACAAGACAAACTTTTCACTGCAGTAAGAACCTCTTGATGTTGGACCATAAGTTGGTTGATGAGAAGATTTGGTGATGGGGACAGGGCATTATGTGGGCCATAGAAAAAAAGCTAATTTATAGGATTGGTGGTATAGGGCTATTCTAAAATGAATAATAAACTGAATAAACTAATACTATTATATTAGGACTAATTTTTTATGATTTGTTTTTAGCGAATTTCTCTAGGTGGCTTGGTAAGGCCTAGGCCTGGGACGGATCTACTTTATCATTTTGATGTTCCCAGAGGCTAAAATAACCATTCGTTAAAATTTTTAAATGTGTATACTTATATACGTCTATGAACGTGATAGTTTGAGTATTTTTTTTTTCGAATTAGATGAAGTTTTGGTTTAAATGTGTAAAGCTGGATAAAGATGAATGAGTTTGCGAACCAGTTTGATCAAACCATGGAAACAGGGTTTTACGGGAGGTTTTATAGGAATAAAATGGGTTTTTTTATTTTTGACCCTCAACACAAACAATTTCCCAATTCCTCTCTAGACCTTTATGAAGAGATTAAAAACTAATAATTTAGTATATCAAAGTGTTTTTGTACGGTATTTGACATGTAAATTTAAAATTCCCATGTTATTCTTAAGGAGAATATTGTAAAATATATATTTTGATAAAAATTGGCAAATTAATTTATTTTATACTAACCTATTAATATTTTACTAAAAACACACTTTATTAGTTTCTTTATAACAGCAAACCTAGGTACTCGTTTAACCTAATGTTATTTAAATAGATCAAAATCAATTCGGACAAATGGAAATTCACTTAGTCGACAGGTTTGCTGCGGCGGGGTATTTTGACTTTATTTATGATCAATCTCACCAGATCTTGAGCGAGAATAGGAGTGAGAACAGCGTCGTATCATGGGCGGCGTGTCAGCTACGTCACTGTGTTGTTCTGATCGTTGAAGACATCGCCATTCACACACGGCAGTCCGGAAATATTGTCTGAACCTGTAAAAAGTACGTCAAATCTTCATCAATGTAATATATTTTAAGTAAATAGTAGTAGTCATTTATTTTAAATAAGTAAAGTTCATGAAATGACGGAGATTCAATTGACGGTTTCTTAAAGATGGGTTTTGATTGCTGAGTGACTCAGTGTTGGTCGTTTTAGGTACATTTAAGTTTGCCTTTCAGTGCAAAATTCAACGTTTTTTGTGCCCTGTCAGCTTATCCTTTGCTTGGTTTAATTTTCCTTGGAAGATTCCTCGGAAGCCTTTTTTTTAGGCTTATGGATTTTTCTTGTTTTAAAAAAGATGTTGGCGGCCTATTTCAAACTTGCATTTGCCCATCCACAAAAGCCTATGCGTGCAATGTATCCAGCAAACCAAAAGATGAGCCGGTAAAGATCTAGGATGAAGTATACTGATATAAAGTAGTGGCAAGTACCAATATAAGTTTTAACCAACGACATCGTTGTCTCCGGAACGAAGTTGTGGTTACTGACTGAGCCACCGGATCACTAATGTTTTGTGGACAGGGAACGGATAAACGTGGTTATGGAAGAGGAAATCAAAATACATTTAATTTTAAAATAAACAATATAGTTGCAAAACAATTTCACATAACGATTCGGCAAAATATTTAATTATAAGTAAATTTTTAATTACATTCTTTTTGTAACAGGTTTTATGTACAGGTTAATGTGCCAAATTTATAGAGTTGTTTAAAAATGTGCTATATACACCTCGAGTCACGGACAAATATATAATTAAATATCTTGAAAACTATTAAATTAAATCTTTATTTTAGGTTAATTAAGTGTGAGTATCTAATAAACAAAACTAAAATAATGGTTTTATTTGCTTGTTTCTTGTTTTCCCTCAAACCCCTCACACCAAAATCAACGAAATCTTCACAGAAAAACAGATACTGTGTCGAGGAGTGTTATAGGTCTTCTTGCTACTGAGATATTTTCACTTAAAGATTTACCTCAACCCGTTAACATTCTGAGACTTTGAAGGATAATAATAAATATAACGTTATTTTGTTACATTATGAATTTACTTTACATCCACCTGTCATAATAAACTTACACACAGTAGATAAAATATCAAATAACCTCTTGATCAACATTGTACGTGTTATTAAATTTACGGAAGTAAATAAAGATACGTCTTATAGAATCTTGTCATTCGCCTATTGGGTCTGATGATGATTGGAATATCCAATCGAAATCGATCTCCACTTACCATCTTTTGTATATTTACCGTCTTGTGAGTAACAGTATAAGCGTAAATATATGTTTCAAGTGTTATAAGACCTATCTTTATTTACTTCCATAAAATATCAAATTTCATAATTTGTTAACCTTGCCATGATTGTGTTTTGTTAAGTCATTAGTTGTTATTTAAACTATCTTTATGAACAATCCTGTTATGTAAACATTAGTAAATGTTTTGTGACAACTTGATAGACATTCGTTATATAGCTGGACTGATAAGAATAATTTATTGATTTATCAAAATAAGATTGCATACAACATATGTTGTCATGACTAACGTAGCTGCCTAACATAAAATATTTTTATACAGAACCATGAATTGAAAAGCGAGGTTTTTATTCAATGAACCATAAGTTTAATCCATCAGGGTTTTGAAAGAGTAAACGCTAAAAGGATAATTAAAACTCAATTTATTAAATGAAATCTTCAATTCCAACACAAATTGGAAGCTTTTAGTAGGTTATCTGTAGACGGGTGATTTAATTTAAACTATCTAATTAAATATAAATATTGTACGGATAGGATAAAAATATCTATGTTATGATATAAAAGTGACCACGATGAAATTGTTGTAAGCAAAGAGCTTTTGAGTATAACTTTTAATGACTACACACGACGGTACGTAATGTATAATATATACCTTAAAGAAATAATTTAATTAATTACAATGTATTTTTTTAAAATGTGAATAACCTAAATTACTCTAATGATTAGGTATAAAAGCACGTTACTTCAGAAAGAGTTCAGAGTTGGTAAAGAGCTTGTGTTGCAATAAAAACGATTCTTTCTCCTCATTTGTAATGAAAATCTTTTTACACAAGTACCTAGGTTACCACGAAGGACAACTCGAATGAAGACAAATGAAAAGTTCTTTTCACTTGAACAAAGACGTACTAGTGGATTACATATTGAATACAGCTTGGAACGTGTATGTATAATATGATTATGGAAAAAATATATTTCAAAATAGAAAAACATGAAATACCTAATTTTTTCATAAAAATCTTTCTTTTACTATCCATCACAGTTATATTAGATCTTTTAATTCAAATAAAAGTCAACCATACGCACTTGTTTTCCACGTTGAAAAAGCGTGTAACGTATAACAAATTCTTTTACGCGTAATAATATAAGTATGAATTCAAAGGTTTTGGGGACCTTTCTTTTCGAGATTCGTTTATATAAGATTTAGTCTCTTAAATTATCTAGTTAAGAAGCTAATAAAAGGCTCATTTGTATGTGTTGCAGTCAAACGATCCTGTTTGCTACTGTTATTGCTGGTTGCTTTAAATGTGTAGTTTCGTCTCAACCTCTGCAAAAAATATCATTAATCGGTGGCAAAACCCTATTGGCAATGCCAGTCATAACATACACAAATGTATCTTTGTTAATTATTTTTATGTTTAGTTTTCATGCCATTTTGATGACCTAAACATTGCAGAAAATATCACCTCACATGTTTGGTCCTAACGATGTACTCATAAGTATAAAACGGATAAATTTCACTTCTGTGTAGCATATGTTGACTGTGGCAAAGACAAAACAAATATTTAAATTGTGTTTATAAAATCAATTATTTATGTTTAAAATTAATTTAGAGATATTCAAGGTAGAAAAACACTAATAATGTGTAAAATAAAAGTTGTGGTCAAAAGTTATAGAACCGTCTGCAGTCAGCCGTAGACAAATCGCTTTGGGCATTTCGCGATGAACAACAAAGTTTAAAATTCTGTGACATGTTTGGTCAGTGTGGTCTAAACTTTTATATCATTGTTAGAGGTTTCTGTTGGAATATTTTAGTAATTTAAAAACATGAATTTAAGCCTTCTGGAGTGTAATGTGGACAATGATTGTTATGCTGCTTCACTTATTTGTATCTAACTTTTGCATTTTATGCCACTTTGATCCCACTATCTTTGTCAATGATTTAAGTTAGTTTTACAAACTTTCAGCTTCATTATTCTAGTGTTTGATTGGCATACGCCTAGTTTATAACTTATTTTTAGAGGTTAGGTTAGGGACCTTGCATTTGCCCGTTTACATTGACAATTTTCCCGAGCATGGAAAGTATCCAGAAAAGCAAGGGGTGAGCCAAGGCCGCACTAGATATACCTAGTAGTATCTAGTGCGGCCTTGGATGAGCCGGTACTGATAAAATGTTTGTGGCAGTGACTAAGATCCGAACCCACGACATCGCTGCCTTGCCCGAAATCCTTGACGCTACCAACTAAGCCACCAACTCACCATAAAAACTAATAGTGTTTAGAGACATATTATTGAATAAAAGTAAATGACTCCTTTTTTAGATTATTTCAAAATTACGTTAGAACTCAAACCAAACCATGTGTTACTTACCTGGCATTCATCCAGTAGTATATGAGCGGGTTGACCATAGCATTGGACATGGCTAGCCAATAGAACATGAGATAGAGATGTTGGACGTACTTGGAGTACGGAACGTCACGATGGTAGTGGGTGTAGAGGAAGTACGAGTGGTAAGGGAGCCAACACACTCCGAAAATCGTGACTATAACTATGAACATACGGACTACCTGAAAAAATACAAACTCTATAAGGAGTCTGGCATCACTGAATTTAGGATACTAAAGCACACTTACCATCTTTGTGGACCAGCTTGGTATTTAAATGACATGCTAAGGTGAGGTATTATTTGTGAACATTTTACCAGGACCCGACATGTACTGTACAAATACATACATCCACAGACATATACACAACCTCAACGAAGGATATCTGTTCAACCTGCGTTCAGGTCCAAAAATAAATTCTTTGTACCCTGAAAAAGCGGTTGTGTCCTAATTGCGAACAGTCCAGATTGCGAACAAGGGTAAAATCGTCCAGACTGCGAACACCTCAAAAATGCTATGGACTAGCTGAACATGAGTCGTCCAGACTGCGAACAAATATTTTGGTATCTATAAAGATTGTTTTTGTCGCTGTTGTTGAACGTGAGTTTTAATCACTTGTTAGTTTCTCCCCCTATACCATAGTATACGGAGAAAGTATTGTTTTCGTCAAAATTTTCGAGTTTGAGTTTTGAGTGGATATATTCGTTTTGGGTCCCCATTGACCCAAAAAGTGGTTTTTGAAGTGATTTCTGTGTGTGTATCTGGATGAGTACAGAGCTAGGGACTACACCTGTGGTCCGATTTCGACGAAATTTGGTATGTAGGTTCTAATCCATGGTATCTCCAGGCGTTGTTTTCATTTTTTTAAAATTTTGATTTCTAATGGGGATTTTCCCATAAAAACCCATAAAAAACCGGGAAAATCAGATTTTCCCAAAAATGGCCCGAACGATTTTGATAAAAAAAATAGTATGTTGTAGCCCTTTAAATTCATAACAAAATGGTACAAATCCCATTTCTGTAAAAATTACGGTTCAAAAGTTATTGTAAATGATGTTATTTTCCCATTAAAACCCCCATTAAACAACGAAAAATAGGATTTTAGGAAAAATCTGGTTTTGATTTAACATAGTAGGCCTATGTTATGGTCCTTACAATTTTGATAGCTTTTTTTATTTTTTAGAAATTTTGATTATTAATGGGGATTTTCCCATAAAACCCCATAAAATAACGGAAAAATAGAATTTTCCCAAAAATGGCCCAAACGATTTTGATATAAATTTGTTATAGTCCTTTATATTCTGAACAAAATGGTACAAATCCCATTTCTGTAAAAATTACGGTTCAAAAGTTATTGTAAATATGTTATTTTCCCATAAAAACCCCATAAAATAACGGAAAAATCTGATTTTCTCAAAAAATGGCCCGCACGATTTTGATAAAAATTAGTATGTTATATTCCCTTAAATTCTGAACAAACTTTTACAAATCCTATTTCCGTATATTTACTCTCACCGCTTACACATGATAAAGGTTGTTGACAAACTTATGGGAGAAAGTATGTGTCAGAATTCTGATACCGTTTATTTTTTATGTTTTTAGCTAATGATTGAGTTGGGAATGTGTTTGAATGATTGATGTTGTAATGTGTAATGCATATACATGTTATTTCGGATGTAAGATGTACGTAGGTATTGTATTTGTTTTAGTTGCTATTTAAATGACTCGTTTAAGATGTTTTTTTAGGTAATGATTGAGTTTGGAATGTGATATTGGCAAATGCATGTTATTTCGGCTAATTATGTTAAACTCTAGTATTATTCATACTAAATGATTGTTTTATTTCTTTTACTCTGAGATTGTTTAGTTATTGTAGTTGCTTGTTCAAGTCAAACATGTTGTAATTAATTTTAAATAAAAAGCCACTTTAAATATGATCAAAACGGATTTGTCAGTCTGAAAGAATCTGTATGTTAATATACAAGCTGCTTTACGTAAAATTATACTACGTCTCATAAATAATGTGTCTTTAAGAAAATTCATCCTCTCCATTATGTATATTACCAGTCTTAAGTTGTGATTTAGGCTAAATCATTCTGTCAAGGGTTTTTATGAAAGGGTTGAAAACCCCGACCACTCAAAATGTGTTCGCGATCAGGAATCCTCCCCACCCCACGGACGACCCCCTCCACCTCGTAGACCCAAACATGTTCGCAGTCTGGACTGTTCGCAATCAGGACTGTTCGCAATCAGGACTGTTCGCAATCAGGAGGACACCGAAAAAGCAGAACGTTCTTCAAGTTCCTCGAAACGACGGGTCAATCTCCAGGACGATTACGTGTAACGTGTGTGTGCGTGTGTGTGTGTGTGTGTGTGTGAATCTGACAGTCTATGACGAGTCTTAGATATCACCAGACAATAAAGAATTGTAAATATGTCAAAAGACAATATACAAATATTTAGTTTAACAAGGGTCCATTTAATCATATGAAGGTGAGTAACGCCAACAAAATATAGATAAACGGACCAACTCTGGCCGAATTTTTATATAAAAAAAAACGTAATTGCTCTAACAAGAGTTGGTCATCAATAATTATATTTTGCATTCATTTTTTATTACCGTGACAATTTACGTGCCATAAAAGACACTGTTATTGCATGTTTCAATTACAAAGTGTTGCATAAGGCCCGATCTCAATGCATACTTCGGTCGCTCTACTCAAAAATGTGTTTAAAAAGACTTCTGCATAAATACATTGTAGTCCCATTTATTTGAGCATGACCATAGCGATTTTTACTTGTCAAAGTTGTATGAAAGTTCGACATATAAACTACTCTACCGATTGTTTACATACCGTTCTCCAGTCATCCAAGGCAGGAAATTAACTTAGAACTTTATCAAAGCGGCTGTCTAGAAAGTTAAAAGTCAAAGCTAGTTAGTAGAACTGAATCAAAGATTGTTTGTTGTGTTGTTGATGTTGTTGTTGTTGTGTTTGTTTTTATCGTAGACATTACATGGGGGACCAAGACCCCTGTATTTTACTTATGTTTCCGGTCGTATGAAAGTAACTCTTATAGTATTCTACCTAAATTAAATTTTGATCACATGTTAACCAAAATCTGTATAGGTCTGTATTTTTTGTCCTAGGCCGCTAGGTACGAGCTCGGGATTTTCTTTCACATTACTTCAGGCTAGACCTAAGGGTTGCGGCATTATAACTTGCATAGAATCCATTGGTGATTTGGCGGGATTTGAACCCGGGACCTCAGGAACCGATGTCCTGCGCTCTAACCACTAGACCATTTCACTCCCCCGCTAAACCTGTACTAAGGATGGGGGATGGGTACTCTGCTAGAATACATATATTAAGAAAAAAATCTAGAAATCTGCGACCTCCTCCTCTATACCAATGTAAATGTAAAGGTTTGTATAGCATGAATTTATTTATAACAGTGTAATATCGTAATGGATTACAGAGTTTTTTGAGGAGAACTGTGCCCAATATAATATCCTAAGCCTATACATTTAATTTTTACGTCAAAATTCCTTAATCCTAATAAAGAATAGGTTTGACCGAAGACGTAACAACGTAGTTTAATAGATACTGTAAACTATTTCAGGCGTAGAATGTCAGAAAAGGTTTAAGTTCATTTTTGTCCTGTTTACGAAAAGATATTTGGGTTCTTGATAATCAATAAAACCTCAAAGAATTATATAACATTGTAGGCTTTTAAACTCTAAACATGATCGATGTATTCGTAATTGATTGAATTCCTTGAATAAGAATACTCGTTGATTCAATGTTTTATTTTTTGGACTACTAGCTGGCCCGACAGACGTCGTCCTGTCCTAATGTGGTTTTATGTCAAATTCTCGTTCATTTTAAAGATGAGCTCGTTTGCATGGCTCAATCACGTCCTGGTTGGAGCTCGTTCGCTACGCTAACTCGCCTCCAGATTGAAATTCGTTCGCTACGCTTACTCACCCTTTGGTTGCAAATTGTCATAAATTAAAAAAAGATAATAGTGCTGCACCCTGTTGGTAAGCCTATTTACTTGTTAATGCTAATTGAACATCACAGAATCAAATTATTTAGTTGAACCAGCTGTTAAGATTAATTAATTCTATTTAATTATGAGTGCTCATAAGGTTAACATGGGAAACTCCCGAGCCACTGGGGCGAAGACCCTTTTGACGGATCTGCACCAAAATTCACAAAAACTATCCTTGAATAATGCTTAATAATGCCTGAAAGTTTTATTACAATTTGTCGAGCGGTTTCGGAGTCCATAAAGGACAAACAAACAAACAAACATACATACAAACAAACATCCATTGGATTTTATATATATAGATAGTACAACATTTATTTGCTTGTGAGCTAGTTGAATGAATTATTTGAAGTGTATATTTAAATTTGATAAACCTGCAGGTTTGTGGTACTAGGAGTATTTGTCTTTTAAACGTGGTGTAGTTGAGCGATGTCTTGAAGTAATTGGTTCCTCTAAATGTCAAAGCCCTTTTGACAACAAACACCTTTCAAGAGATCTTATTTCCTACCCCTTTTGTAAGGCTGTATTTGTCGTATACAATTCCTTCTTAAGATTGTTCTTAGGTAAATTTTATTAAAGCCATAACTAAAATTTTGTAGATATTTTTTGAAACGGATCGATTAGCACTTAACAACTTTTGGTGATCGAATACAGTTTGGTATTCAATACAAAAAATTAACTGTTTATAAATCAACAGTTACAGTTTCCGTAATAGAGAATGATACTGATTCAAGAAGCACGTATGACAAATTTACCTTCCGTTTAGACTTTATGGAGTCTATTTGCCTTTGAGTGAGCTCTCCAATGGATCGACTTCCCCATAGCTCTCTCCCCATAGCTGTGTAACATCCCAGCATAGCTGCCATTGGGGTCACATAAGTCACCATAAAAAGCACCAAGTTATATCTAAAAACAGATGAAAAATAAGCTGTATTACCATGCATTTGAACTGAAACTGTTTTTTTTTTTTTTTTACTTAAAAGTTCAAGAACAAAATAATATCTTTTTACTTAGGTACATAACTAGTACGTAATGAACATATAATCTGTTCTAAGCACTGTATTGAGTGCAAAATGTAAACACAATAATCTTCAATATTGCAAGAATATTCGAACAGTAGTAGTGGAACGTTTTGTCTAAGGATAATAGGCCCCTATTTCCCAGTCGTGTGCTTTAGAGGAAATTCCTTTCAAGGATTTCCCTGCACAGACATTATTGTTGAAAATTAAATAGTGTATGGTGTATTTCAAGCGAGTTTACTGAACAAACCCATTACATATATTTACTTTTTTTTGTATTTAGTTTTAATGTAGATGACGTAGTCAAATTTTGTTTACAAAATATTTATTTTTTCATGAAATTATTTTTGTATCAATACTAGCTAATATACGTATTTTAGTAAGTAGACACAATTATGCACTAAGCCTGTAAGACAGTGTTATTATATTATATAAAATTATAAGAATATGTAACTTATAAGAGCAATGTTCAATTTTAAGTTAATACAAATGCAGTTTTTTTTTCCTTTAGAATAAAAAGAGGAAAACTACAGAATGACGGTTCGGGCTGTGATAAACGATTATTTTTACCGATCCTGGAAATATTAAATGTTGTATAAAAGAAAGCGATTAATTTCTAAATCATTAATATTCATAATCCTGAAATATTTGCTAATGTGTAATTCAACAGAATGCCTTTTCAATTTTTGTAGAGGGATGTAAACATAAAAGATAAATAAAAATGTATTTTAAGGTTATTAGTGTAATAGAAATATACGAAGTTCAATCAATGAAATTTTTAAAACTATAGCTTTATTACATCCCTTCTTATCTCATTTAAATCGATAGTAAATAAGGAAAAGAACAGTAAAAACTAAAGTTTTATCAAAACTATTGAATAAAAGTCATGCAAATATTAAATTAATGCATGACAACCAATTATAATTCGTACCAACGGTTTCAATTGTTTTCAGTACACTTAATCTTATTCAAATTAACTATCAACTTAAAAAATACTATGTGGGAAATAATATTAAAAGTTTGTAGAATAACTACTGAACAAATTAAAACTTTTAACAAGTCATTACATATAAAATGGCAATAGCCTACATTTTAATAATCTTACATGTAATCCATTGTTGAAACCAAGGGCTGCCCGTCCGGCCATATTAAAATACAAGCAGTTTGGCCTGAGGGTCTGGAAAAATAGAAGGTGTTAAAATTTCAACAGCGACATGTATTACGTATTGATTATTGTGTATAACTACACACCTTGAAATTATTTTTTGGCTCGTGTATTTATTGAAGATGTAGCTTTTAAACCTCTTAGTTGCGTATAAAATTCCAAACGATACATGTGTTATTAAAACACCGTATAACTAAGAACTACACATACTTAACGCCTAGAGGGGTTAATATGTTTTGAAGGAAATGAGGAAAACGAAATTAACAGGTAAAAAAGGAATATAGCTACCTCCTTTCCAATATAAAACTTCAAACATGGAGTGGATAGTGGAAAACCAGAAACAATACATGTTGACCACCAATTATGAAGTGTCAGAATAGCTGAAGCGTCTTAGTTTGTGTGACGAAAGACCCCTTTACTGAAAGTCCGAAAAGACATAGGATATTTTTAATCTGACGTTTGAAAGGGAGAAGCACTATTAAGTAAAGTGAAGAAGATTAGTTCTGGGAAACTTGGCCTTCCCAAGGATACCTGATCGATATGAGAAAATGCTTTAAGTAAAGATCATTTCAATTGGAATGACTCGTAGGAAGGATGAGGAAATCCCCCAAAAAACAATCATAGTCGCATCGCTAGACTCTACTTAATTACTTAATATACTTTATTAATGCAATGAATATTGATTGCTTAAGTATCCATACAAACCAACAAAAGCGAGGGTGTTGAACGACGGTGGTGATGGTGGAGAGTTTTTTTGTTACTGTGTTGAAAGAATTTCTAAGCACAATCACATGCTGCCAACCACTAATTGAAACTATCTATACCTGTACGGTAGTATAGACGGTATCTTGGGACCTGTGCTAGTTGGATAGGGGCTATTCATCCTACTCAGTACTTAGGAATCTTGTAATACATTTTAAATTAGATAATTAGAATGGACACACCGAATCCTAAAATCTGGGTAAATCATCTGCAATTAACTTGACCTTGATAAAAAATCAAATGTATTAGTAATTGGAAATTAATGGATTATTAACCTACAAATTTAGTCTTGTAAAGTTCCAATTAAAACCCATTCAATAATAGATTTTATAGGTTAAATAACAATGAAAATAAATAAAAACTATGCGATGAAATATGAATTATTGACATGTACAGAAGTTTGAAACTTAATTGGAAAACTTTGGCAACCAGAAAATTAATCTGAGCAGAAGAATAGTGAACTGTATTGGCTTTTAAAAACTATATTCTCTTATTTAACTGTCAGTGGAGCAAGAATATTGGCTCTCTTACCTATCTGTATCTCGATTCTTTGTTTTAGAATATCCGGAATCAGGTCACATGATCGTTACAGATATGTAACCTAGATACTTCGAAACTCTACCAACATTATGTTTTCTCTTTATATCACTGTTTTGAAAATCCCATCATTATAGTTATTTCGAAAAATATTTACCCACAAATATCACAATCTAAAGAGGAAGTGTCTTAGTTATTTGTATCAAGACCATAGCTGTCCCTATAGTTAACATATATTTCAGTTGAAGATGTCTTATACGATATGAATATTATACAGTTTAACAACAAAAGGTTCTACCCTTTGTCTGTTAGTTCAAGAGTGAATTGATTTAGAGGTGATCTTATCATTGGTCAATAATCAATAGTGGGTACTGAAAAGTATATACCATACAATGGTCACATTGTAATCATGTTTTAGTTTACTATACTTTATTGGAAAAGATGCTTCTTAGACCTTAAACGACAAGAAGTGTGTTAATATTTCATATTTTACATAAATGTAATTTCAATGAGTTATCATTGAATTCTAATGTTAACTATAAAGTGTTTAAACAAATTCATATGTGTTTTGCTTATATTTTCAGAATTACTAAATTGTATCCAACCTAATACATCTAACGGCAACATTTTAAATGGTGAATCCAGTCAACTTGATCCGATTGAACGTTAAGTACATTGAAGAAGAATACATCTGAATCCATACATCTTAAAAATCAACTCAATTATAGTTAATAACATAAATATAATATAAATAATATAATATATAATAATATATAATAAATATAATATCTTACCTGTGAGTGACTGTGGTAGAATACATAAGGCAAGGAGATCCCAGTATTAAACTGGTCAGCCAAATAGCTGCTATGGTAATTTGAGCACTGGTCTTTGACATCCTAGGTTTCAGAGGTCTATTGATTGCCAGAAACCTGTTTGAAGATAATTACATTACATCTTCCTCCTCAAATAATATCCTTAACCTCAATTGCAAATGTAAAAAGTAAATGTGTAAATTGTGTATTATAAGTTACGTAACACAAGTAACGTATGTAAAAGGATAGAAGGACACAGCATATAAAATCAAAATTATAATTATTATTGCAATTTCTTTATAGGAAAGAAGCTATTACCGTAGGTAGCACGGCAATAAATACACTGGGACCATTTTTTGTACATCTTTATTTATTTAGAGGAAGTCACCTTTCGTTTGAATTTGTATATGTATGTTGTATGTTTGTGTACGTGAACACGATAACTCAAGTAATGGTGGTCCGATTTTTGTGAAGTTTTACACCAACTTTGAAGTCATTGGCATCCTAGGTTTAAGAGGTATGTTGTTTGCCAGAAAAAATGGTTCATATAATATAAATATTACATAGCTCTTTAATACATAACCTCAACCCCTTTGGTGAATATAATATGTAATATAACAGAAAACTTGTCAATTACAGGTAACGTTACATTAATAACCATGTAAAAAGATGGCAACACAAAAATGGAAAACGTGTCTTTTTTATTCTGACAAAGATTTGTAAAAAGGAAAAAATATTATAATGTGTAAAACAAAACCCCTCCATCCATTTAATAATGCAGACTTTACGTATTTTCAGTTATTGAATTGAAATTCAAAGAATATTCTTTAACATGGATTCACAATTTGATATAACTCATATCAGAGATTTATATTTTACAGTATTGAGTCATGGATTTAGAGAAAAAGTAAACTTTTTCTCTTTTATAAATAAATGCTATTTTGCGTTCATGGCAAAGGAAATTTCTTTATTGAACCCTAAACATGAATGTATCGGTATGTATTTATAAATATGGATGTTAAAATCACAACTACGTACAATACTACCCAGGCATGTTGAGTACTGTACCATGACAATGTTAAAAGCTAAATGTTAAGATTCTAAAAGCCTACTACACTATTTGTCTTAATTTTAATGAAGGACGTTTATAAATAGGTCGTGCTCTCAGGCTAAAACCCCTTCCCTATTTGAGTAGTTAAACTACTAAATTATATTATGGGCTTGAAACAACAATAGTCTAGCAAATCATTTTTTCAGGACTTTGAATACAATAAACTGGTATTCTCGAGAAAAAAAAACTAAATATTTACATTTAGATTTGATTTAGATCTTGCACTTTTACCACCAAATTAGTAACTTTGGTACTTTCCTGTTAAAGGGAACATTCATTATTATCGATGATTTTTTTCGATATATCGATATTAACAAATTGAAACATATCAGCTGACAACTACGATAAATATTGTTCAGTATATGAAACTGTTCTAAAAAAATAACCTAACATAACTAACCAAACTTGCTGTAACATTTAAAAATTCCGTGTTTAACTTGTCTTTTCTATTATGAAACCCAAACGGAATTTTTAAATGGTACAGCAAGTTTGGTTGGTTATGTTAGGTTAGCTTAGAAGAGTTTCATTTTTTAATCCATATATTAGACTATTTTAGCCTAAACGAGATCAGTTAGTTATTGTTGTCAATTTGTAATGGATCGGATCGAAAAAAAAATATCGATATATCGAAACAAAATCATCGATAATAATGAATGTTCCCTTTATCAGGAAAGTACCGTAACTTTTTATAGGACATGTCAAATGTTTAGCAATGGGTTCTTAACAATTTATGGTCAGAATAACACTTAATTCATGTATTTATTTCCTAACAAATGATTTAAAACAACGTATTGTAAGTCCTTTATTTAGGTTACTGAATTTAGAAAATATTAAAAAATATATATTATATTATTATCATGGTCAAAGTATGTGTTGTGTAGTTATTTTAAAATATTTTGACGTGAGTAAAGGAAAATAACGAACGATCTGTTACGCCAGAGACAAGAATTAACCCAGTTGCTGGGCTTCCTTTGATTTGCAGGATTACTTAATCACCAGGAAAGCTGTACCGGATACCAGAATGAAGCGCTAAAGCCATGTCATTCCATCCTTCATCCGGTGATTACTAATTAAGTTTGTGTCAAAAGTAAAATAAAAAAGTGTGTCAGTGTCATGAGATATGTCAGTGAATATTTTAGACATGTTAGCTTTTTGTTTTATTTTGTCTTTAAAACAAATCTTTACATTATTTTGGAGTTTTCATTTTGTTATAATTCTGAAAGCATTAACAATACTTAGCTTTATAAACCATCAACAGACTACTTAAAATGAAGGTTATTGCTTCTGGAACCTAGGCAAAAACCTAAATTCCAAGGAAATAGATTCCTTGGTATGGGAAACAATTTTAATAGCTACTTCCCTATTACGAATAGTCACTAGGATATAAGCTAAACAACCATAGCAAAGGTTATATGTCTTCATTATCTATACCTGTATTTGTTGAAAGGAATCCAAGGGAGTTAACCTTTAGGATTTGTTTACCTCTTTCTCGCAAGATGTTGCTTTAGTTACAGTAGAACATCTATCATTAGAATGTTTTCTTATATTTACAGCTACATGATTATATTTTATTTATGTGGGACTAGGTACCATTAAGAGTCTAGAGTATATGTTAAAAGAAATTTTATCCGTATGCACAGATCAGTGTAAAATTCAACAATATGCTTCACTTAGCTCATGTTGGTACTGTTGTTAAAACTGCTAATGTGATGGTTTTCCTGTTAACACTATTTATAGTTTCTCTAAGAGATTTCCTCACAGTTAATACGCTGAATGTTAAAGGTTAACTTGTACGGTGAAACGCTTTTATGTGTCCCTCAATCTGTCGATAACAATAAGAATTGAAGCTACGTTTACCTAAACTATTATATTGTTTATGAAAATACTGGAAGGCTCGATATACTGTTACTTTATCAGAATTTCACCATTACCATGAGCATTTGCTTTATGATACGTGTATTTGATTTATAACTCGTAAGAATAAAACCCACTAGAATTTGGGTTACAAGTTAAACATCTTTACTTATAAAGTCTATAACAAAAGTCTTAATGTAAGATTTATAGATCTTTTGGTTACATGAAACAGATTCTCATCTCTACTGAGAACCACGAGACTTAAAGCTACATAACACATACTCTAATCAGTACAAAGAGAAATTGTGCGAGTTAACTCTTTATGTGGCATATTCTTGTTTCCAAAAGAAACCAATTAAATGAGGTACTTGGCCACCTGTTGAAGTGAAACTAGTTTTAGTTAAGTTACATGGTTAAATATTCTCACCTGTCCAACGAGATGCCTGTGAGTGTGAACACACTAGCCGCTACCGTCACGTTGGCAATGTAGTTACTGAAGGTACAATAAGGCCTCCCGAACTGCCAATCGCTGCCAAAAAATGACAAATTGTTATATATATATTGGGTGACTGTAAGAATCCTTTAACTGACTCAATGGACACATTTAGATGAGTTTTAATACGATAGAGGTGCAAAGGATTGCAACTGTATTCTAATTGGATTCCGAAGGTTTCGGTGTATCCAAGAGAAATGCACGTTCCTTCTGTTTTCTGGGATTTCCAAGGTTTGAAACTGACTAAAATTACTCAGTGATTATATTGATGTATACAAATTATTAAGGGTCGGTTTTAGTGGTTTTTTATATGTGCATCCATAATATCATCTTGCCATAACAGTAATACTTTGTTACAATATAGTTTTATTTTATTACAAATCCTAAGTTAACAGACCTTTTTTAAAAAAAATCTTGTCGAATCTTGATTTTCTATTTCACTGAATATGAAGTTGGGATACAAAAAATCTTTATTAAACTTGTCTACATACTCATATTTCCATACCATATTTCATATTTCATGCACTACAGATTTATGAATATAACGACAATCCTTAACCAAAAGTTTGAATATATTTTTGGATTTGAATAGCTAATGTTTATATACACTTTTTACGTATTTCTTTATATTTTCCACTACCTCAGAGCTCATTGAAACAAAAAAATGTATTAGTCTGTAATGCTACGTCGTATATGTTTGTCACAGTAACTTATGGTATAGAATGTATAAATAGTGTGAACATTGAGAATACAAACTTTAAACCTATTTGTGTGGTTAAAAAACTTTTCTAACTTTGAAATAATACCCTCACAATAGACTGTTGATATGCATGGGAAAAGCTATTTTTAATATTTAATATACTTTGTAGATATTATTTGTTGGTTAACGATTACGATATTAATATGAGGCAAGATTTATACGATATATACACACAATTTAAAGTTTTGAACGAATTTCAACAACAGTTGTAAATCATCGTAAACAAAGGTTTGGGAGATTTGCATCATAATGTACAATAATCTTACAAACCCTTGATAATTCCTTACAAACGAAATTCCTGAGTCAAAACGTCTTTTGTGAGCTTAAGCTTTCCTTAATCTGCATTAGTTTACCTTGGATAACATTTGCAATTTAATACCCTACCTGAGTTATCCCTTCATTTATCTATACAACAGATTACTTGATCAATTCTGTGTTAAAAGTAAAGCCTGTTTTAGAGATTGAACCATTTTTCAAAGTGTGCAACTTGTTTTACAAATTTGGAAAGATAGCGAAGATGATTACTCAATTTGCCAAAATACAACAGGTTAAAGTAGCTATACATTTTCCACCAATTGAGCCAATATCTAACAATTTCCCTACAACATGTAAATGATCAACAGAAAGTATACTTACTTGTTCAACATATACACAAAATTGAAGATACAGTTGAATACAGACATCATTAAGTCTGCAATGGATAGATTTAAAAGGAAGTAGTTAGTGACTGTGCGCATTCGACGATGAGCTGCAACAAAGAAAGTGAGCTAATTATGCTCTCAAAACATTTGAGCAGTGTTAAATGGAGTAGTTGTTTGAACAATGTCAAATTAGCGCTGTAATATTTTTTTTGCAAAGGGTACCTCGTAATTAAAAAACTTATTCCCTATATGGGAAATTCGCTAAAAAAACTAAGGTTATTTCTGTTTATTAATCCTATCCCACACCCACATTGATGCATCCGGAAAATTAGTTGCTTAAAATTAAGTATAAAATATTTTATTTTCACATCCTAATTAATTTGTGTGCTTGTTATTTTGACAGGAGACAGTTTTCAGATGCTAATAAATCAAGATTTGTCAACAAAAGGAGTTCTAGTTTTAATATCAAGAGTGTTAAGCTGCAACAAATATATTTGTTTCTGCCATCCTTTAACACGTCATTATCGTTTACGGCTTTTATATGATAGCCTGATAAGTAATATCCCAAAGGTTTGCAAAGTTATAATTGTGGCAAATGCAATATAGTTTTCTCTACCAGTAGAAATCATGATAGTATATGTAGTTGTTTTTCTTTTTTTCTTGACGACGATTTCAAATCCCATTCACACATAATACAACGGATGTTCAATGTTCAATGGCCTATAGCCAACTTATATTCTTTAATAGAGGTTTCCCAAGATTTTTTTAAAATTTATTATAATTACAATTATTATAATTATTTCCGAACAGTATTATAATGGTATTTTTACTAAATAAATGTTTCAATCAGTTTCAATTAAATTGGAACCATGTTTTACAGGTAATAAATTGAAAAAATTATTGTTAAAGAACTAGTCACATGTTATTAAACTTATTTAACTTTGTCTAAAAAATTAAAAAGATATTTCACAAACATTAATGAAACATACAATATATTTATTTACCCTTTTGGTTTAGTTATAATCCAAATGTCAGGTTTATGAACGAAAAATAATAAAAAAAAAATACTTAACAACAAATACAAACACATGGAAGTCAATAAAAAGGTCAGTTAAAAAAGTTATTTCTTTTACAAAGAAAACTGTTATTTCTGGTTTCATGATTGGGCTTCTCAAAATCACAATAATTGGACATCACTTGGACCCCTTAATGTTGCCATGGCAACGAAGATACTTCTAATTGGTCATCAAAGGTAATTTTCCACCTTGTTCTACCATAAATATCTTAGGTTACTGACTCGTAAATTACAGGATAAAAAGGTTCTTTTGAAAAATCGTTTACTACGATTTTTTTCCATGGCTGTGATAATTTATTTAAATAAATAATTTGTCTTCATTTAATTAAGTTAATTTAACAATGATATTTTGTAATTTTATGTTCAACCCCTGCCCTGCCTCCCGAAAATCTGTAAGAAATAATTGAATTAAAAGCCTTTTTTAATGATGAAAAATATATTTTACCGTTGTACTTGTAACAGTTAAATTATATTTCAATCGTGATTAAATGAAGAGAACTTTCTAACTACAAAAACGTCATAAGGCTAATATTTTATATCCATTTTAGACGGACTAGAATATCTATGTTCTGAACAAATAGAATTGTGACCTTCCAAAGGACGTTTTTAATCACTGGCCATTTTTTAAAGATCCAAAAACAGTCACCACACTACAATTGTAATCTTGGAAATGAACTAGAAACACCCATGCCTTTGTCCCACACCGCTCTCTACATGCCTACCACTGATCATGAACTTCCGTCTCTTTAACTCATTTCCTAATTATCATAAGCTGAGGTTGATGTGGGAAAATTAAATCAATGGTTTAGGGAATATATAGTTGGTGGGATGTAAGTTTATGTTCATACAAAGATTTTAATAGGAGGCACATATACATTTGCTTATTACGTAAGAAACCTTATGTCGTATATCTTGTGTTAGGTTTTGGTGATTTTCCCTTCTGCCTCTCTGTAGTTTTGGCAATAATGACTATCATTCATATTTTAAAATCCACCTTCTGCTCCTCTTCCACAATAGATGACGTGAAATTGTGTAGGTGTTTGTGTTTGTAATGCCAATATACTGATTTCGTTTGTGTACAAGCACTGCTTCTTTCAAGGTTGACAAGGAATTTCATTTATTTAATAGTCAACAAAATATCAATAATTATTTAGCTAAAATTAACATTATTCTAAAAATGGTTATCATTCAGAAAATCTTACTAACTTATAGCACGATTAAGTACAACCGGTTTTTTTATTATTCGCGGTACAACCATAACAAAAATCAGCATAGTAGCTAGATATATATAATTGAAAAACAATCAAGAAAAATATCATAAATATTGAAACTTAAAAAGGTAAAAGATGTTTCATGTTATGATGTAATTTGACGTTCAGCTTAGATTTGGTTAATGTGTTATCCATTATTTTCCTGTAATGTGTGTTTTCCATCGACAAAAGGTTTAAACTCTGGAATACACACTAAAATGTAAGGATTAGAAGCTGTAAAAATAATGGTTTGTATGTATTTTCAATTATACACAATATCGGGTGATCTATTCGTTCTGTTTTCAACACTACAATTTTTAGGTGTTTTAATTTAAAAACTACGAGTACATTACATTTTAATTGTACAAAGCTACTGCAAATTTTTAATAAACAATCAGATAAAATATCATCAATACAACTGTACACCCAATTAAAAGATACATGTCCAATATTTTACTTACCTAAAACAATCCAGATAACAATAACGTTGCCACCAATGGCTATGATTAGCATGAAGGCAAACATAGCGGTCCAGGCTATCTGCATCAGCCAGGACATCTGATGTCTGGTTGGTCGTCTGCGAGGCATTGTTGTGGTGTAGGACCAATCGTAATCCTCGTCACACCCGAACAACGCCTGAAAACGCATCGATGGTTATTTCATTGACTATTGTATCCTAAAGTAGACATCCCATATATACAGTATATATATATATCTAGACGAGCTGTCACAAATTGAAAAAAAAGAACGTAGTTATGTGATCCAGACACAGATTGCTAGTGTCTAAAATTATATTTTAAACCATACCTTTTATTGCTGACCAAGTATATCATAACAATGATACCTCAGCAGAAGTCATTTCTTTAGTTTTACATGGCAAACAAGTTTGTGTAACGGAACAATATTCCATTTTGAATGCATTGCATACTCTTACAATTAGGGAAGGTTACAGTCAAGTGAATTGCAAGTGTAAAATTGTGAGTAACATTAATAAACTTAGGATGCCTGAAGATGGATTGAAGTAACCGAAACATCATCCGGTATATTAACCAGTTCAACGTGCCAGTCATATCGGGAAAGCTAAGATTTGACAGTTTATGTATACAACATGTTTCTGGTCGAATCACTGTCTAAATATATCTCAAGTTATAATTTTAATTAATACAGCACAGAAATGATATACTAGGTACAGTTCTAAGTTTTTTCGTCTAAGAAAATAGAGGTTTTTGGAGAGTAACAGAAGCTCTGTTCATAGAAATGAAAACAAAAACAGATAATCACATGAAATAGTGTTGGCTGTCGATTATTAAAAAAATAAATAAAACCAACACCCATTCAAATATCCTATCCCACAGGACACTACACTAATACAATAAATGAATCTGCCTATTTAAGACAGAAGGCCATATTAAAAATTATCCCTAATTAGCAATAAGTAGAGAATTCCCTAATTGCTATTCAACAATGTGTTCTTTAATGTTGATATTACCTCCAGTTCTTTTGTTAACTCGTAATTTAGACAGAAGAGAATGAAAGTCATTACCTTAACGATTGTCAAGGCTGTCGATGTATTTAGTTTTTAATAAAACTTTACTGTAAGACTTAAACATGAAAAAACTACAACTTTACTACAGATTACTCTAAATAATCTGGCCCTATATCACACACATACATATAGGGCCTACCACTATAAAATACTCAGTTGTGTGGAACGTTGCCTCACTTAATAGTTTCTTACCTTACCTTACTTACCCCTTGGCGCTACATCCCGATGTGGACCTTGGCCTCATTCACAATGTGCCTCCAATCATTTCTCTCTTTTGCTTTTTCTTTCCATCGCCTTGCATTCAATTTTTTCAAATCCTCCTCCACATCCTCGTGCTATCTTTTTCAAGGATTCCTCTCTTCCTTACTCCAATTCACTTAATAGTTTAGGGATAGTTCAGAGACATACTCAATAAAAAAAGCTGTTTAACTCAACTGATATTATGGAGAATGCATAATGAATATCAGGTCAGAAACCTTTCACTTCATAGTCTTTAGTGAATCGTAATTTGTAAATTATTTGAAAATATGTTAGATTGTTTGAAAAACCTTTATTTATCCACACAAAATCAAAATCTTTGACAGACTTACATATTTTAGTAAAAATGCATTTCACTTTGGTTTATGACGAATGATGTTTTAGAAAAATCATAAAATATATTTTCAACATTGCATGTTCACGTGGTCATTTAATCTCGAGGATTCCAAAGTTTTGAGGCAAGACTTAAGAAGGCGTGATCTTGTCCATTAAACAACTATTCGTTATGGTTATATCTGACATTTTAGACGCCTTAACGTTCTTAATTTTAAGTAGTTTAGAGTGTAGTGAAACAAAAAGCTAAGAATATTCTTGCGATTGGTACTCGATAGAAACCTGCGTATTTATTCCCATATTGACACTGTGTGTAGAAGGATCTCTTCGGGAATCCTTCTTCTCCGCAAACTCTCTAAGTTTTCAAAATGCGATGTTCTAATTAAAGCTTATTATGGAGGGATTTTTCCGCATCTGATTTACGCAGTGCCGGTGTGGGGTGTGAGTGTGGGAAAACGTCCTTCCTTTTCCGACTCCAGAGGAGGGCAGTCATTGGTTTGAAAAGAAGAACCTCTTGCAGGCAATACTTTACTTCATCACAAATTTTAATATTTCCCTCAATATACATTTTGGAAACTTTGATTCTTATGAAAAAGAACCTACACAAATATGAATCTTTACCTACACATTCCTAGTCAATACTTTTTTTTAAAGGAACATTAATTGGTATAGTTTTATGAAAGCACCATTGTTTATTGTTTATTTTTAATTTTAGTTCCAAGATATTAATTGACATGACCAATGCAAATTTTTTATTTTATTGAGTGAAATATAATATTCACAGTCGTCGTCGATAGTGATTGTTTGCAGTCAATATTGCAATCTCAGTTTTGTATATCAGTATACATAACTATGCATAAAAAATAAACACGTAATTGATTAAAAAAAATTTAAAAAAATATTAAACTAATTTAAGTTTAAATAGGAAATAGCTGTTGAAACCTGAGATTTGGAAGATTTGCATCATAATGTAAAATAATCTAACAAACCCTTGATAATTACTTACAACCAATTTTTCTTAGTCAAAACGTCTTCTGTGAGCTTAAGCTTTCCTTCATCTGCATTAGTTTATCCTGGATAACATTTGCAATTTAATACCTTGCTTAAGCTATCTCTTCATTTGTGTACTCTACCGGTTATCTCAACAAGTTTGTTTTGAAACCAGAAACCTTTGGTTCTAGGGAATAAAACATCTTAAAAAAAAGAAGATAGAAGATAGAAAAAAATTGGTTTTAGATCTCTATATTTTTGAGTTATGCGTTTCGTGTAAATAGTTTAATATGTCGTTGTTAGACCTACATAGACTATTTAAAACTTAAATTTTATTATCTTTAAGTTAAAACGAATTGTCATTATAAATTAAATATTTATTATTAGTCTATGTAGATTGTAACTTAGCATCTAAGCCCCCCACAGATAGATAGTGTGATAAAATATTATAAAATAAAACTTAAAAAAATATTACATCTATTCTATAACTAATTACAAACCATTAACCCTCATCAATAAGTATTCAAAAACAATCTGGTAATCCCCCCTAGCAAAATTATTTTAGAAAGTTCATAAATTTACAAACATGTGACACCCCATGTTTAACATCAGAGAGTAATATAAATCTTGCTTATAATTGATATAAGTAAAATACCCCCGCCGCAGCAAACCTGCCGACTAAGCGAATTTCCATTTGTCTGAATTGATTTTCAGTTAAATTTATTTTAATAACATTAGGTTTAACGAGTACCTAGGTTTGCTGCTACAAGGAAACTAATAAAGTGTGTTTTTGAGTAAAATATTGATAGCTTAGTACAAAATAAATAAATTGGCCAAGTTTGATCAAAATATATCCATAAATAAACAAGCAAACTACAACATTTGACAATACTCTCCATAAGAATAACATGGGAATTTTAAATTTACAATTAATTTTCTCCGTTACTAATAATCGAACAAAAATACTTTTATATACTAAATTATTTGTTTTTTTAAGCTCTTTAAAAAGGTCTAAAGAGAAATCAGGAAATTTTGTGTTTTGAGGGTCAAAAGTGAGAAAAACCAATTTTTACCTCATAAAACCCCCCGTAAAGCCTTGTTTCCATGGTCCGATCGTGCTGGTTCGCGAACTCATTCAAGTTTATCCCACTTTACACCTTTAAACCAAGTTTCATCAAAATCGGACAAAAATTACTCAAGTTATCGCGTTCACGGACGTATATATATATATATGTATATAAAAGTCTATATATATATATATATATATATATATACATATATAAAAATTTGAACGAATGGTGTTTTTGGCCTCTGGGGACATCAAAATGAAAAAGTAAATCGGTCCCGGGTCTAGGTCTTACCGTGCCACCGACGGTAATAGCTACTTCCCTATAGGGAAATTCGCTAAAAGGCTTCCCGAGAAAACCATACGCCTCCGTTATTGATATAAATAAATATTTGAGTGTCCATACACTGCGTTTTCCCATTTGCCTATTAAACACCAAAGTTAGCTATGTAACTATGTAACTTTTACATAGTTTTTACTTATTTCAATATTTCTTATACCTGAGGGGATTGGATCTTTTGGATTAAATGTAAATGTTTTTTTTGTACATTCAAAACAATGTATTTTGATGATTTATCGTTCTCAATGTAATACGTTTTTCATTATTATCATTATTCAAGGAATTTATAAAACCTAAAGGTACATTATTTTTTCTGTAATTTATAAATTATATTTTATTAATAAACATTTTAGGTAAGCATAAAGTAAATACCTTTAGTTCATGTTAACCTTTGGTAAATCTCAGTGTTTCATATAACAAGTGTCAGAAGAGTCGAGTATTATTTCAGAGATATTAGATTACCTTCACAAACTCAGTCCGTCTCTGTGGAATCTGGAACCAATTTATACTTTATCACTTACTGTTGTAAAGGTAAAACTTGGAAATTTAGAGTGAAAAAGTCTTCTCCGACAGAAACTGTAGGCGTTTGCATGAATAAAACTTTACTTAAAATGTTATGTTTACACAAAAAGTAATCCAAACCGATTTCGCATAGGTACCTTTTTCTATCGATGAAATAAAAAGAAACACAATAATATGTTTTGAAATATTTAATAATATGTTTTAACATGACTTGGGAACAAAAGCGTATATATAACAATTTCTGTAATTATGAATTTTAATTTTAATTTATTTGCATCCATCTGTAAAAAAAATCTTATTTTTTAACTATATGATAATAAAAAAAAAACAGATGGCTTACATATATATAAAACTAAAGGGCTTAAATTTGTGTGATGGTTTTATAACTCAATAAAAATCAATAGGCGTAATAATATTGTTCCACATTGAATGTAGTAAAATAATTATTCAATAGATTCGAAGTTATAAACATGTTTCCTTTGCACACTGCGTCACTTTAAACC